ACACGAGCTATGGTTCTGAGACAACGATTGTCGAACACCTGAAGACGTCTCAGTTCCGCTGCTCGAATAGGCCAAGTCTCACAGCCATGCAACAAAGCAGCCAGCACTGTAGCTTGATACACACGTCCCTTCAGATTCAGGGATAAACCATTCTGACACCATTCTGCATACCAGAGTAACAGAGTAATCCCCGTCTTAGGTCCTCTACATTGGGTTTGAACAGAATCTAACAATAAGCCTATAGGCATATTGCTACAGTTCAAACGATACCTAATCGCCCACATTCACATGGGATTACCGTATAGAGTGAAGAAACTGGGAACTGACTGGAGTATTGGTTAGCTTGTTCACCCTAGGCATAGTGAGTGGATTGAAAATGTTTCGCCACAAATCGACGAGGCGCCGTCAGCACGACCAACCTAGAAACATCAAAACCGAGAGATTTAGCTGGATTCCGGGTGAGTCTCTCGCAAAACCAAATTTGTTTGAAAATGAGTGTATTTCGCTGATATCGTGCAATCTAGTTTCGAGTAGAACATAAGGTTGACGGAAACTCGGGGACTGCGCCTACCTGTTGAGCCCCAGCACGGGCGAAACCGGCCGTGGGCTGTCGAGGAGTTTTCAGCAACCTTATGAGTAGTGCATTACAAAATCGGATCAGTTGTTCAGACATGGTTGCTCAGGACTAGACTGGCTTAACAGCATCTCATGGTTATCGTAGACAAAGAACTGGGGTCTAATCTCAGGCTGATGTGATTCATCATTCAGAGATATCAGCTTCTGTACTAAGAATGTCGGTAGTTACATTGAGGGTACGTTGAATAAGACGCTTCGACCGCCGCGATTTGCATAGAACGACTGACTGACGTAAGGACAACATTCGAAGCATACGTAGACCAGCAAAAGCGTTCGCAGTTTACGGTCGTAGCTTGAAAATGGCCTCGTCGACACGTTGCTCGTTGATGGGAGATGACGTATAACCATTGGTCAAACCTTCACACTGAGTGTTCTGAGGTGCTTTCCAGCTCGCACTTCGATCACTTTGACCACTTTGCTAGGTAACGCAGGTGTGTACCTCTGCTTTAGGCGGACTGATTTCGCTGCACGATGAACTCTGAGAGCTTCCTGTCAAGCTCCTCCGTGGCAGGGTACTCATAAGTAGTATATTTCATTTGCGAAAGCGGCCATCCCCTCAGCAACTGACAGCTAGACGAAACAGTCCGAAATGAAAAAAACGGGGTATTATTGATCTCCCAGTGATCTATCAGTGCGACACAGATGAACGTGAGATTGGCTGCTAAACCCCGCTGTATCCACACTATGCTTCCGCCGGAGCTCTCCCTCCTCTGATTTATTGAACATTCTGGCTGACTGGAATTTTAATATATTTATACTGAAGAATTTTTGTATAAAGCGTTCTTGTAGAACATTGATGCTGTATCCAGGGCTACAGAATTATCGTGCAAACTGTAAACAATGTGGATGAGTGTGGTCAGGCGATAAGAGCGATACGGTGTCCCATGTCGCGTGCAAACATCTGTGATGACAGTTCTCCGGCATAAATCTGCCACGGAGTGAGATAATTACGATAAGTTGGTATTCACGCCTTCAACAAAAAGCGCGACCCCGTAGCTGGCTACACATTCCTGAAAAAATTCTGTCGCGCAAAATTTGACCGATATAACTAGTTTCTGAATACTGTTGGTTCGACGCAGTTTCGCAGCAGAAAAGACCGTGGAATCCGTGACGCTTTGTTACCGGTGCGCGGTAACAATCCGCTGCTGAGGCATCGTGAAAAGCCCACATTATTACCCAGTTGTATGTGCTATCACGCCATCACAAATCCTCGCAAACTTATTTTTCCCTCAGCAACCATTAATCGATCTCCGCAAAAACCAAAAAACGCATACTACTAATAAGCTTCCGTGCGTCCATCTTTTTTTGCAGTTGTCGTTTCCCGAACTCACTTGGTTCAACAGTACTTCCGAGTGAAGACTCGTAAACATCGATTTTGCACAAAATAATACTACTCATACGTTGTACATTCGAGAACTTTATTTCCGTTCAATGATTCTTTGATGTTTCGCTTCTAAAAAAACACGCACCCTTATTTGGCGCATTTTCTGGCTTTCTAAGCGAAAAAATCGCTGTTTTCTTAAATGATCAAATAGCTATTTTGTATGTGTGGTCTGGTTGCGCTAAAAGTCCGCTTTCACGGTCGCTTTCACTCGGATCACCCCGAAGAGCTTATACTTGATGACATATATGAGTGTCTGACACGCAGAATTGTTGGAAACCGTGAATAGTGAGACAACCACACAGTTTGTGAGCGGCTTTCTGTCCACTGACGTCGATGTGGACTCTTGTGAATGAGATCAAACGTTGGATGCACAAAGACAGATCCGTTGCATACCCAAGTCGGCGGCAGAACAGAACAAGGAGTTCCCGGTGTAGTTAGTTAAGTTACCGGCACCATCGACCAAGTTCTTGTATTTCCAATGTACTAGTGCGCCTCCGTTCGAATCAGAATCGTACCAATATGCCAGGGATCCATTCTCGTTGTCACAGTTCGAAGGTGGCACTTGATGACACTGCCGTCCGTAGCATGAGATCATACTACTACTTAGAAAATGAAACGACTTTAACTCATTTCCAGTTGTTCACGTTGACAATACGGGAAATGGTACATTCCAGTGGATTTACGAGTGAAATAGCCTCGTTTCTGAGAGTCTTGTGTGAACCAATGTTGTATCACGAAGAGTCACCGATTTAATTGGTTGGCCCCATTTCCTTGATCTGAGCTTGAGATAGCTCGGTGGTTAAGGCGCCAGCTCATGGACCAAAAGGTTTGTGGTTCGATCCCAACCTCAGCTCTTTCCCGGGCTTTGGCAACTTGGCAGTATCTTTGCCCTCGTGCTTCCTTCGGGTGCCGTGGTAGCCAGGTACCGAAAGGGCTGAGTGAATCTCAGACTTTCTGATATGGATGCCTGAATGTACACGTTTGTTGTCTTCTTGCGTGGGGGTACTGTGAATGGTGTCAGTATGAATGAGATGAATCTTTGGGATCTCATCAAGAACACAGAATGTGGTTTGGTTCTTCTCTGTGTGTCGGTCTGCAATAAATCTGAAAACAAACACGACGGCTAATACGAATAGAAGGCGGTTGCCATCAGCAATCGCTTACAGTTTGTGGTGGGTTTGAAAATCACCAGGTGGTATTTGCATCCGTTTAAAGACGGAGACAATATTTGTCAAAACGGTCTGTTCCGCACAGGATGCAACCAGTTAGCAAGTAGAACAAAAGAACCGCGCTACAATGTCGCTTAGTAGTTGCGATTACCGTAGGGGTGCATGTCTAGCACTCGTAGTGATATCATCGAACAACACCACAGCGTCTACTAACACGGGCAGAAATTTTATATATGAGGACAGTGGTTTTCTGTTCAACCCACCGGATGTCTTGTGGGTTTGCTAATAAGTCGTGTCCTTTTCAGCTTTGGATTTGGTGTTTATGTATCTGTCCACCATATATCCCCGTCGCCAAGACAGGATATAAAATACGCTCTGAAAGTTGAGCAGATTCATACTTGTTGTCAAGATGGCATATGACACGGGCATAGAAACGTTATGGAGGCTTCCTAGACTTCGTGTAGCCTGCAACTCCGGCAACCTACAGACGCAAGTATCCCTTGAGGATGGATGAGAACCTGTTTCAGCATATCAATGCACCTAAGTGGCAGTTGCGATCGTTTCAGCTGTGTGAATAGCTACCAACCTGATCGTATACGTCAGAGTACTAGCTCCGTGTACACGGTAGGAGAGCTACAGAGGAGTTTCCGTGAGGTGGACTCTATGCTTCCCTTGATTCCATGGCGACCCCCCCCCCCCGAAGCCATTTGGTGCTGGAAAAAAGTCTACCATTTCGTCTCCTTATACTCATGTTAAAGTCTCAAGTTTTTGTTTGATTGGAAAAATGAGAGATCATTAGGTAGATAAGGTTTTTAATTTGAAAGCTTCGGAAACTAAGTTATTGATTCAACAGACCATTGCATAAAAATCGCAAAATGGTCCGATTCTTTCCCGTGTCCTTCATGTAAGGCGATTGGCTAACCGCGAATAGAATCCTACTGAACAACTATGAGCAGATACTATTTCTGCAAATCAATTTGGTCTTTACGAGAGACTCAACTGAATCTCTCGTTTATGATGTTCTTCAACTGAACGTACTACACATGAGGCCACTGCCTCATGTTTCAGTTCGTACGATATTCGAGATATCGCGGTATATTTTCATGAATGAAACTACTCACAAGTTTACTGAAAACTGTTTGACTGCCCACGACCGGTTTCCTTCATGAAAATATACTGCGATATGTCGAATATCGTGCCAACTGAATCATGAGGCGGCCTGTAGAACATTATAAACGAGGAATTCAGTTGAGTCTCTCGTAAAAAAAACCAAATTGACTTCCAAATGATTGTAGTTCTCGAAAACAGTCCAATTTTGGTTTTAGTAGAACATAAGGTTGACGGAAACTCGGGAACTGCGCCTACCTGATGAGCCCCAAGAAGGGCGGAACCGGTTGTGGGCTGTCGAAGAGTTTTCAGCAACCTTGTGAGTAGTTTTCTTCATGAAAACACTTTTTCGGGTTTCTATTCGCACCAAAACAATAGCTGTACAAGAGACCACATGAGAAAAATGGATGTTCTGCTTCTGATTGGATCGTGGCAGACTCCCTGAACAGCTGTCCTGTTTTGAAAGGGACTTCCAAGGGTGTCTCTCATCAGAAAACCTAAGTCATCGCAAAATCCGTTTCTCAACGTTCCGAAAATCCTAGAAATCGGTACACATTTCGCACATCACCAGGGTGTGACGCAAGCACCCGACGGATTCGCGGCATGTTTATGTGCGTGCGGGCGTGCACGCGCGTCTGTGTGGTTTGCGCAGAGTGCGTGCCTTACGTGCGCGAGCGTTGTTGCGTGCGTGCGTGCGCACATTTAACTGGTCTTTGCTTTTTGTGCTGCTATTAAGACTGTCGCAGATCAGCGTTCTTGGCCTCAAAACTCACTCTATGGTCATGTACTCTTACGCATTTAACCTCGCAGACTTTTCCACCGCACCGACTCCTCTGTAAGGATTCTTCTCATCGTACTTTCGCACTACACCGTCAGTTTTCATGCATATAATTTTGACCCTGAAATTACACGTGTGCAGTGAATTTCCATGGTTTCAATCAACAAATGTGATTAAATTGCACCGAACAGCTTTGTTTAACGCTCTTTAATAGTCCACACTATCTTTGCACAGTGAAATTCACGTAAGCAATCAAGGACCTCGCTCACGTGATCAGATGATCACCCAGGTCGGATAGGTTGAAAAGTTTATTCTAGACTTCAAAGCAACATTTGACAATGGCTTCCATGGATGTTGTCTAGGCTACCTCGCCCTTGTGAGGGCGAGATGGCTCAGGGGTTAAATCGCGAATTTACTGACCGGAAGGTCCGTGGTTCGAACCCGACCTCTGTCTCTCGAATTCCTTTGGCCAGGCTTGAAAAACCTGACAGTATCCCAGCCCTCGCGCTTTCTTCGGGTTGCATGGCAGTTAGGCATCGAAAGAGTGTTACAGGCGAAAGATTTTTATTTTGTCTGACTATACCTTGTGCGATTTGAGCTTGAACCCACCAAACAGAGATTCAGCTTTCGTGAATCCATCAAGGTATCCACTCTGAAGTGGTCCACCATTTGCTGACGTTTTTCAGTTCGATTTATCTTGTAACTGCTAGATGCGTGTTTCTGTAGGTACGTAAGATTTCATTTGTACTAACCCTTTACGTCGGTGATTGGGAAAAACAGCTGTTTAACCACCGTTAGTTTTGCCATTTTCATTGGTAAATGAACAGAGTGAATGAGTTTCATAGACCATTGTGTAATCCTTGTTCATGTGATCAGAAAGAACTTCATTCTTTCGAACCGCTTTGCCTGTTCACAGATTGCACTTTGAGCCTCATCAATGAATCCCCCGCTGTTGCGGGTACACGAGACAGTGGTTGTCTCCCGTCCGCAACCGACGATGATGAGGAAAACCAGGACGTGGCGCAGAATGCTTTTCTTGACCCGATTCAGCGTTGTTCGACTCCAACAGACGATGGTGAACCACAGCGAACCCCCACAGCCGATACGAAGATGTTGGAACTGCCAACGTCCGGTGACGACCTAGCCGGAGCTGCCGAACCAAACCGGCAGGAGCCCACGTCCATCACCAATCCCTATCTCCAATCCGGAGCTGAACTCAGTGTCGAGGGTAGAACAGAGAGTGTCCCTGTTAGAAAAGTGTCAACATGCGAAATCTTGGTTGCTCGAAACGATTCCCAAAAGTCCACAACATCCAGCGGTTTTGTCGAAGATTGATGCAATATGAACGACATGAAAAAGTGCGCCATATTCCTACAGGTCTCATTGCGCGAACAGTACCTAAATAGCCACACACACACACACAGCACAGCACACTAACAGAAGCAATATCACTGTTCAACTGAACTCACTCCCGATTGGTTATTTTCATACGCCTAAAGAGGCACAGCATAAACAGTTATCCAGGCTGTTGTACAGAAGGCTTTCTTCCATTCTTTGTTCTTTTGGTTGCCTTCAAACGATGCCTTATCCGGTAATTGTCTCGCCGTCGTCACGTTCGCTCTTCCTGTCTCCACCCGCACGATTTCCTTGATCGGTTCTCAACCGACCATGCGACATCGCCAAGTCTCCTGCGCGCGTGTATTACAGTAGATCAACGTCAAACACTGCATTACATTACTTTATTGCGGAGCTTCCAGTTTCCTTCCCAAACGCCTGGTACACATGGCAAACGGGATTTGTATTGTGATCCCCTGCGACTGTTCAGTTCATCATGGTAGAATTCTACCCACCCCTCCTGATAATCAATTCGCCGTCGTCACGTTCGCTCTTCCTGTCTCCACCCGCACGATTTCCTTGATCGGTTCTCAACCGACCATGCGACATCGCCAAGTCTCCTGCGCGCGTGTATCACAGTAGATCAACGTCAAATACTGCATTACATTACTTTATTGCGGAGCTTCCAGTTTCCTTCCCAAACGCCTGGTACACATGGCAAACGGGATTTGTATTGTGATCCCCTGCGACTGTTCAGTTCATCATGGTAGAATTCTACCCACCCCTCCTGGATAATCAATATTTTTCAGCTATAGACGCTCCAACCGGTTCCCTAAGAAGAAGAGTTTGCAGTCTCTGTGTCACAGTCCTTTAACACCTCCATATTGGCTGTTTAGGTTGAAAAGTGCCTACTTTTATGATAACAAACAAATAAACAAACAAACAAACAACCAAACGAAAAAGTCTGTCCTGTGACCTATTGTCTGTAGAAATCCAGAGTTTTTACTTCCATCTGGCTTGCGCGCCCTTACCTCTTCTCCGTGTCCTTCCACTCGCCCTCTATCTCCTTTTACCGAGTTAATGTGCTTTATTTCTGATTCACCTCCGAATAACTGTTTTACATGCAACTCTCATAGCTATCGATCGGTGGAATATTGATTTCCCGCCCCACACAGATTTTGCCTGCAACGTGACGATTTTCGCTTATGACTTGGGTTCGGTCCTGGGAACTTGGGACTGCCAACTTGTCGATTTGACCACAGGCCGTCTGCGGACCGCCTGCGATTAGAGCGGCTTACCATCGTAAACTTTGATATGGCCCAATCACCATCCTGTTCTCGAAAATAGACTGTGGTAAAAGGGTAGATTGGATTTTAGAAAAAAACATGACAATTCGCTTAAAACACTCATATGACTCACCTGCAACTCAGCTGAATCTTTCGTTTACGATGCTTTTGAACAACTGAGCATCATAAACGAGAGATTCGGCTGGGTTCCAGTTAGTTCTCCCGCCGAAATCAAATTAGTATGCAAATGAGTGTAGTTTGCTTATTTCTTGGAAATAGAGTTCAAGTAAAGCATAAGATTGAAGGAAACTTGGGGTTCCGCCTATCTGATGAGCTCCAGGAAGGGCAAAACTGGTCGTGGGATGTCGAAGAGTTTCCAGCAACCTTATGAGCTGTGCATCATCACTGCACTGGCTCCCAGGAACTCATTGAGTTCATTTGCTTCAGCATTAATCGGGCCCAAGCTATCATACGATGGGCGAAGTGATCGACAAGTTGAGGGAGTGGAATCTGGAGCGGATAGCGTTGCTGGATAGATCACTGCCGATTGTTCCCAGTGAGGATGTAAGAGCAAGCTTCTTAGCTTTGACTGGCCTTATTGAGAAGACGGAATTTCAACCGGGAATTGAAGAGAATCTGTTGGCTGCACCTGTTATTCTGTACAATCCTTGCCGCAACGCAGTGGATGAATGATTCCCACCAGCTAGTTGTAGAAGACTTAATTATCTGGCCACGAATTTCCAACTAGTCTTTACCCACTGGCTGAGTAGTCGCTGTGGCAATTCCCAATGAGGTTGAAACAGCTCTACAGTGCTCCTCAGCCCTTCGATGTAGATTGACTTACGCGGCGAAGTTCTAATTCAAAGTTAGCATATCACCAACAGATGCAATCGAAAGTGAGTGAAAAGAAAAACGCCTTTGCGAGACACAAAACCGAACTCAGTATGCCGTCAATACAAGCTTCAAGTCGGTTACGGCTAAATGGAGAAATACGGGATCGATCGTTTGGCCGCACTGCTCATCTGGACCTTCGACTTTTCCTGGTGGATGTGGATAGGAGCGAGTCAATCAGTTGATTAGGCATCGTGGACCCCTAGGTGCATGTTAGCCGTGTGCGTCAGCTAAGTTCGTTCAGCTTTTTGATAAGACATTGTCGAACTTAATAATTCCACGCTGATAGGAAGCAATGCCCAGAGTGCATTATCATCTGGATATCTGGTATGAGTTTTCGAATAGAGCAATTGTTTCTCTAGTGGTGATTACCCGGAACAGGTATTTACGGGAACCGAAAACACGTGATTCGTCTTCCGTCTTGTCGACCGGTACATTCAAGGCTGAATTTGGTTACAGAGGTGAAACATCGTCACATTTTGCATCCAAGAATACAACAAGTTCCATAAATTATTGCAGCTGTAGAACTAAATGCCAACTTCATCCCTTCTAAGGAATCACGTTTTAATTCAAGTCGCGACATCGTTTTACAATTGTACGCCTTTGTTCCACTTTGAAGCATTCACGGATTTAACGATTGATACACAGGATGGAGGCTTTCACCGAAGTTTCCCGGATCAGTTTCGTTCTTGTTGTTCAGCCGCAGCCGTTCGCCTGAAAGACACAAGTGTAAAATTGGTGTGGCACTGTTGTTTAAGTTACAGCTCGGGTAGTATGTTTGCCAGAGTGAGAATTCGCATAAAAAAGCGTCTAATGGTGTTTTGAACTGGTTACTAGTTGTAGCGTTGACAACCGTCACAGGAAGGTTATTCCACGCAACGACCGCCGGAAAAGAGGAAAAATGTTGGTTGAATAAGCGTACAATCTGAGCTTGAAAATCATCTTACCATGTCCTGACCGTGTGTTTGCAGAGTCAACGGTGAGAAACCTGTTAACCAAACCTTGTTCAAAGAAGGCGTATGTAAGAATTAGGTCCCATTGGAGGCGAGGATACTACAGGGGATAGAGGTCAAGCGCCAGGATGTGCGTTTCATACCCCACGGATTTAAGGCTGGCAACCATTTTTGTAGCAGTTTACTGGACACACTCAATGAGGGTTACGTCTTCCGTGCGTCCTGATTAGACAACTTGGTCGGCATATTCAACGAGCGGCCTGACGTGAGTCCCACAGAGCATTAGGGAGTCCATGCGAGCAATACGGAAGAAGGTGTACCGAATAATCCATAAATCGGCCCATGCCTTTTGATCCGATTTCTCATAATGCGATGAGAGGAATAGATATCCAAATCATTTTGGCATCTTCTTGTCCTTTCTCATTATGCACGACAAACTCATTCTCTGAGTCCACTCTGAATGACGTATGAACGAATTTTTCGTCATTCCGAGGAAGGTGTCTATCCAACGACCGCTGTTTTGCAGCGTCCACATCCATTTGGAGGCCACTGGTATTTGAAGTCCAGGATTTCAAGTTGTCCGCAAAATGTCTAAATAAACTTGAAAGAACGTCTGGATGGCCGTTGGTGTATATCAGAAAAAACAGTGGTCCCCAAAACGGAGCCTTCAGGAACTCCAATGGAGACTGGCACCGAAGAAGAGTAGTTCGAGCCTACTTTCACTCGGAATGTTGTCTGGTAGGACTATCTTGATTCAGTGTAGGCTTTTCCCTTGAATCACATAAGACTCAAGTTTGTGGAGCGGCGGGACATGTGGAACCCTTTTAAATGACTTTGAAAACTCAAAATGTATGGCATCTGATATGAGGTAGCGGATTTAACGGCTGTACACCGGGTTTGCATTCAGGGCACTAAAGAGGTCTCTGCGGCATAATTTTCTGCTTTCTGCCTTGGTAGTTCCGGGAACTGCCTTTCATTTGTGAGTTCTTTCTCTTCGCAATAGTCCGGTTTTTGCTAGAGTTTAACCTTTAAAGGACGTAGTGTTTTCCCTCATTGAGGAAAATGTCGACCACTACCGCTTGCAGCCCATTCATGATCGACTTTTGGACGAATATGTTAGCTGTTATTCAAAAATTCAGAACAACCATGCATTCGCTTGGTTTCATGGACGTTTTCACGCGGTTTGAACGACAGAGCGTTTCTGTGAAGCCTTACGTGATGGGTGGCAGCTTCCATGAGGCCCGTTTTCGGAGAAGACTGCACCTTAAAGCTAATCAGCAGCTACGTAGTTCGGAGAAGTTAATGTGATTTATTTGACTGCGTCCGCTTTTGCTTTGTATTTATGTGGACTCCTGAGTAACCCAAGATTAACTTGACTAACTGGGTGTACGAAGGATTCTTCGGTTCTTTGTTGTCGGGTTTGTGGCTTTGGCTGTCAAGGTCATGGGCGTCGACCCTGTCCACAGTTGACGAGGCCACTTTTAACGGATTAGAGCTGGAAACTGGCAGTTCCACATTCTTTGTGCCTGTGTGTTTTCTTCAGCATTCTCCGATGTCGAGGTCAACGTTTGTGTTTGACCTGTCGGCAGGCCTTGCCGCTTGTCCCCGCATATTTGACGTACATCAGGACGTAAATGATGACCACGGAAGTTTGCTCAATTCAACAAAACAGACATACCAAGAATTCGAAGGATAATTCACTAAGGATAAGCATTCCTAAATATGAAGTGCTAACCCTGAGAAATCAACCGCATTCGGCGAGTACTGAGCGGCTTCACTTAGGCCGATCCTTAGACGTGCCTTCCGAATTTCACTGACATTGTAGTTTGAACGAAGAAACCTTTACCATAGAGTTTTAATATTTGGTAGAATTTATTTTAACCCTTAAAATTTTAGCATACGGCCGCGGTTTTGTTGGAAGTTGTTTAAACGTAAAAGAAACTACTCACGGGGATATTGAACACTCTTCGACAGCTGGCGACCGGTTTAGCCATTTTTGGGGCAAATGAGCGTATTTGTCGCAATTAGTCCAACTTGGTTTAAGTGGAACATGTGGTTGACTGAAACTATGGAGTTGCGCCTAACTGCTGAGCCCCAAGAATGGAGAGACCGGTTGTAAGCTGTCGAAGAGTCTCCAGAAACTTTGTGAGTAGTTTCCTTTATGAAAATCTACTGCGATACCTCGAAGGTCGTACCAACTGAAACGTGAGGTGGTCTTTGTGCAGCACATTCAGTTGAAGAACATCATGAACAAGAGATTTGCTGGAGTTTCTCATGAAAACCAAATTGATTTGCAAACGAACGTGCTTGTTTAAACGTTCTTAAAGTCCACTATGGGCAGAGAATTCATATTTTACTGACTGTCAACAGATCTGCATGATGTCTCCGTAGAGATGAGGGATACTTTGGTGTATTCACGTATTTTATCCTGTATTGGACTCAAAAATAAACTCAAGGCCACATGGAAAATATAAAACCCTATACTTCCGCAGAAACTCAAAATGGAGTAGCCATTAGTGATCTGTAGAAGAAAGTCTTCTCTTAATGCGTAAGGCGTCCTGCCAAACAAATCCAAGGATTTGTCACAGCTAGTAAGGTTTTTTTTCAAATGATAGTCAGCATACACGTAACTAGATTCGCAACAAAGTAATATTTTCACCGGTATACCTGAAAGTGGCACTGGATGAAGTGATTGACTTATTGGTAGAACCAGCAGACAGCACAATAGGGCGGCCAGTGCTTCGAATTACAGGCACAAATTCAACAGAGTGGGACGGTCTTGTAGACGCATGTGACACGCTTGGTAGAGGAATATTCAGGACATGAACTAAGGATAAGCCATCATATTGGATATGACGATCGCGGCACCGTCATCACGACGTTTGCTGACAACCCTTACATGAACATCATCGGACAGTTAGTTGGAGTTGTCATGGTAGTTAGGGATTGGCCAAGGAATCGTGACAAATTAAGATCATCATGGATCGAGGATGTTCTTGTGTCCATTGAGGGAACACGGTTGTTTATTACTGACATTCAAACGAGGCGATAACACAGCTGTCTTCATTGGGGACCCAAAATATAAGTGTGTGTCAGCTAGAGGGTATTGTGTTATTGGTTAGACTGCCACCCGAAATGGCAGGCATTCAAGAGTGGTCACAATTTTTAACTACTGAAGTAAGGCGACACTGGTCACTTGCAAAACGGTAATCGGTATTCAGATGTAGATGATAGGTATGTGGTTGATACCCATATGTGATCATGAGGCACACGAATTAGCTAAATTATGCTAAAATAATATAGCTCGGAGCATGCAGGAACAAGAGATCGGAGAAAAACGTGACATGTCTTGTTGCGTTGCATGTTTGTACGATAAGGGAACCTCAGAATGGCTCTGTTACAGCTTGGAAAAAAGCATGAAGTCTTTGTAAAACAAGCTGCCTTAAAGGCATCATATGGCATGCATATAGTGAGTCTCTGTTAGCATTTTTTGTTCTTTTATCAATGATTTTTTTCCGAATATGACGAAGATTGCCCGGGATATATACCACAACTGAGGCAAGCTCAGGCTAGCGAAAGAAGCGTCTGACAAAAAGCTGATTCCATTACAGAAGACGGTGTTTGAGGTTCGACATAGAGAGAGAATGTTTATAAAAAATACGGCATGCAGTAAAAGTGAGAGCTGTCAAGCGCGCAATCTTTTGCATCATCGCGAAGAGTAGAGGCGGAATGGGCTGACATGGTACAGAAATATATGGCGGGTGTTTATGGACTTATAATAAGCTGCATGCATGGGTACATGCCCGGCAGTTACTATACGTATCCAAGGTTAGCAACAACGCAAACATG